TCTCTCTCTCTCTTTCTCTCTCTCTCTCTTTTTTCTTTCTCTCTTTCTCTCTTTCTTTCTCTCTCTCTATCTCTCTTTCTTTCTTTCTCTCTCTCTTTCTTTCTTTCTCTCTGTGTACATATAATATATAAAACGTTTCTTTAATTATCCGAGCTTGGTTTAAGTGGACTCCAGGGTGTCCTGATAACCCTGTCTGTATTGTTGGTTCCCAGGCGTACAACAGTCACCTGGAGAGTTTCACAACCGCGGAGAAAAACACTGGAGCTGTCTTCAGGGCCTTGCCTGTCTATAGGGTGAGCTATTATCTTGTTGTTGTTGTTGTTGCTGTTGTTGTTGTTGTTGCTGTTTTTGTTGTTGTTGTTGTTGCTGTTGTTGTTACTGTTGTTGTTGTTGCTGTTGTTGTTGTTGTTGTTGCTGTTGTTGCTGTTGTTGTTGTTGTTGTTGTTATGTGTGTGTGCGTGTGGTAGCCTATCCGTCCAAAATGTTTGGGGCTCTCTTGGGTAGCGGGTGAGGCAGTCCAACCTCCCTGAATCCTCCTCGAAGAGATGCCACCGCCAGATGTTGTTGTTGTTGTCGTTGCTGTTGTTGTTATTTGATAAATATTTTAGTGTTTGAGAGTACTTTGCTGTAGGAGGAGTGAGTTCGAGTCCTAAGTGTGTAGGTTCCTTGGAAAGTGCCTCTGTCTGCCTACTGGGATGCTGTAGTATGCCATTCACCATTCAGCCGAAGTTGGCATTCACAGGCAAGGTCAAAGCAGCCCACTTCCTTAATGATATATAGTGTCGATGGCCGGGCATACAACACTTTTTAACCCTACTCATACAACGTGTTTCACTATTGTTTCCATACGACGTGGGGAACTCTGTGCCCCCACTTTCCAAAGAGAAAATTTACTCGTTAATCTGATCCGTACGTTTTGCATAGCAGTCTGTCAAAATGATTTTTTGAGAAATACTAAAAGTTTCAAAGAGATCTTCAAACACTAGAAGTATTCTAAAATCTGAAGAATACAACCCCAGGGCGTACGGATAGGGTTAATTCGCTCTCGCATTCAGTCCCTCATGGGTAGCATCAAGCATTCCACCAAAAAGAAGGGGGTTTCAATTTGTTTTTTTTAAACTGATTGCATCTTCTCAATCTTTATTAATAGAAGTTCAGAACATGATCGGTTCTTCAGAACAAAGGTTTCTCTTATCTACTGCTTTCTGCCAGAGACATAGGAGTGTTTTCTCTCACACAGCTCAGCCACATTTGGGCCGCAATACTGAGCCGGAACAACATAGGGGGAACTGCTACTTTTTCTTTCCTCATCCTTACTATGATCATTTCCCTCTACGTCTTTGGCATTTTTGTCACTCTCTTATGAACTGCTATTTCCGGGGTGCCTTGATAGTCGAAGCAGACTTTATGCTGTTGAGGCTAGAGAGGTGAGCAGAGTAAGTCTGATTCCCCGTTTGGACTTCTCTGTTGACATCCACTCCTTGGCGCTCATATGACCCTATGCAGTTGAGAGTGCCGTAAAACCTTACTAAAACAAAACAAGTACTAACAAGACACTTTGATATCAAGTTAGGGTTTCAATATATGGTCCTGTGGGCCTCAACTGGCCCGCAGGCTGCAAGATTGAGACATTTGATTTAGAAAAAACTAACCAGGTTTGCTTGGACAGGTTGTCACACCGAAGAAACCCAAGACTCCGGACATCAGCTTCAAGATCTCAGACGATGATGATGACAACATGTACGGGAAACATCACGGCGGGGGTCATTCAAAGGTCAGTCGGTGTGTGTGTGTGTGTGTGTGTGCGTGTGTGTGTGTGTGTGTGTGTGTCTGTTGTGTGTCTGTTGGAGTGTGTGTGCTATATGTGTTTGTGGGGGGGGGAGGTGTTGGTGTGTGTGTTGTGTGTGGGGGGTTGAGGGGTTGGTGTTGTGTGTGTGTGTAATTGTGTGTGTGTTTGTATGTTGTGTGTGTGTGTGTGTGTATGTGTGTGTTTGTGTATATGTTTGTGTTTGTGTATGTGTTAAGCAAGTTCCTATTTTGAAAGGATGAGTGGAGCAATAGAATGCCTAGTTCATCGAACACGTTAATTTACATGACAAGTCATCAAGATCATAAGAGAGTTCAGCATTGGTCGACATTTTCTTATTGACATAAATTGATTTTATGCCTAAAACTATACTATAATTCTGTAAGATTTTTTTTAAACAACAAGAATTAAGAAATTATTTTAGAAACAACTAACACCAGACAGGGAAACCTTTTGCTAGTACTAATGACGTATAGAGAGGTTTTACTGTAGAGTTTGAAACGTTATTATGTAAGACTTTCTTGATGACTTGCCTGTGTGATTATTATAATAATAGTATATATATATACTGATACATAGTGTTAGCTTTCTGTGTAGACGACATGCTGTGGTGTTGTGTTAGCGGAGTAGTACTCTTTGATTGCCTGGAATAATTATATAAACATTATAAAAGCATATTTTTACAGATATATATATATATATATATATCAACTGAATATCTATTGGTTTCAAAACTTGGCTCTTGTATGATTCCATCTTTTCTCTCCTCTGCGAACAGAACCATGGCTGGTTTAATTAAGCTTCAAAGATATACATCATATTTCTAGCTCTGCAGTGAATGCTTATCATTATAATCATATTAATAAATATTATCACTTGGTGCTGCAGATTTTCATGCCCTCATAGCTTTCTGACTGCTTGACAGCTTAACCTGTAGGACTCGTAGCCTAGTGAAGTCTAGACATCTAGAGCATGCCTTTGTATCATTAGTTTTGAGATTCTCTTGAGCATAATCATTTTTATTGTTTTTTCTAGTTTTCATCAATGTTTCTTCTGTTGAAATGACGATTGAAATCAGAGACTGAGTGAAAATCTTTTCTATTTTTCTTGACACGGATATTTGCCAATGTTCGACTTATTTGTTATCCTTGTGAAATGAAATGCTCTGTTTTTCTGCGTGCTACCTCTAATCTGTTTTATATCATGAATTCAGTTGTTATTTTCAAGGTTATCAATCTTAATTCTAACTTTTAGAATTAGAGATGTGTGCTTGTGTACCTTCATAACAATGACAAACCGTGAACATTCTCTTGAATATTTCACCTCACCTGAGCACACAACCCCACTCTGAATCCAGGAAATGTTTGTATTATGCACTCTCTCCTGGTGAGTTACGTTGTTCCACGTGTGGCAGTTAGCTGATTAGAATGTGGACAGTCGTTGATCTTTAGTATACATTTCATCGAATACTGACGGGATAATTTTTTTTTCCACTGTCGTGGTCTGCTGTAGATTCGTGTATGGAGCGTTCCTTATGTTTACTGAGAAATATACTTTGGCTAATGTAACCACAAGGATTGCTGTTGATGTCTACTGAGAAATGTGCTTTGAAGAATCCATGTAGAGGCAGCTACGGATGTCTACTGATGAACTGTGAGGGAACAAATTGGAGACATCTACTGATGTCTGGGCCTACTGATGTGTTGTGACATGAAGAGCTGGAGAAAGCTACTGATGTCTGGGCCTACTGATGTGTTGTGACATGAAGAGCTGGAGAAAGCTGCTGATGTCTAGGCCTACTGATGTGTTGTGACATGAAGAGCTGGAGAAAGCTGCTGATGTCTAGGCCTACTGATGTGTTGTGACATGAAGAGCTGGAGAAAGCTGCTGATGTCTAGGCCTACTGATGTGTTGTGACATGAAGAGCTGAAGACAGCTACTGATGTCTGGGCCTACTGATGTGTTGTGACATGAAGAGCTGGAGAAAGCTACTGATGTCTGGGCCTACTGATGTGTTGTGACATGAAGAGCTGGAGAAAGCTGCTGATGTCTGGGCCTACTGATGTGTTGTGAAATGAAGAGCTGGAGACAGCTACTGGTTTATTTTGGAAAATGTGCTGCGGAGAAACCACCTGACAACCTGATGTGTCTTTTAAGAAATGTTCTTTGAAGCAACAACATTAAGACAGCTAATAACGTCCTCTGGGACATGTGCTTTGAAAAAACAAAAGTGAGATCTCCGTGTATTGATTCTTGAGTCATCATCTTGTGCTTTAGATGATTATTTCTAGAGCTGTCTTCGCTGATGAAGAAATGTGCTGAGAGGGATTTCATGGGGAGACAGTACACATGGATGGCTGGTGCCTCTATAAATAAATCATTGATGGTCAGGTCAGGGGAGACAGTACTACTGGTGGTGAGAGCATCATGGAGACGTTGGGCGCTATGTGGTAGATTGTGACCCAATGTGAGCATGGCTGTATTTCACCAGGAAGCTGATTTTGACCAAAATAACACTGGGGAAAAGGATGTAGGAGAAGTGATGACTCCACATAGAAAGCTGATGTTTCTACTCTTAAATATGAGGCACTCGTAAGAAAACCACCTGTGAACAAGATCGATCACTATTAGTAGTGTGAACTGTTCCAAAAAAAATCCACCAGAATGCTGTTTCTAAAAATCAAATTGTGGATGTTGAAAGTGACAGGTCATTGGGTCTACTTTCTCAGCCACAGAGAGCTGTAGTGACATATTGGTGTGGGTCTACTTTCTCAGCCACAGAGAGCTGTAGTGACATATTGGTGACACCCTCTCTGGTTTTTCTCCGCCTGGATTGGTCTCATTGGCCAAAGCAGGAGCCACAGATCGTCTTAATCCTTATTTCTTCTATTTATGCAAAGAAATATTCTCCTCTGTAGATTCATTGGTCATCGTCAGACAATGACAGATAAACTATTAAAGTCTATTGGTAATAACTGTATTTTTTTAAAGCATTGAACTGTGGAATTTGATTCTTATGAGATGTGGTTTGAACAATGGAGATGGTAATATTAATAATAGTTGTGGACTTTCATGCGTTTGGAATGTGGTTTGAATGATGGAGATGATAATGTTGATATTAATTATTGATGCATATAATATATTATATGAGATTTGGTTTGAATGATGGAGATGATAATGTTGATAATAATTATTGATACATATAATATATTATATGAGATTTGGTTTGAATGATGGAGATGATAATGCTAGGCCTAACTGGTGCTGGTTTTGACAACTTGTGAGTTTGCACGTCCGTTTGCCGTGGTGCCCATCCGGAAGACTTACACATCCGGCCCGCTCACCCTCACTGTGTTTTCTTGTTTCCCATCTTGCACCGCTTTCCGCACACGCTAACCCTTGTGGCTTGTGATTGGCCGGCTCAGTATGGGCGTGGTCTCATGGGCGGGGCCGGTGTTCTCAAATCTCTGACGTCTGTCCACATGGCCCTTCAGGGAGCCCACAACTTCAAGCGGCACGGGGAACGGAACAAGAACGTAAGTCCTCGCACAGACAAGCTGTTTACTGGCTTTTCATGTCATTGTTTGATCCTTTTAAAAATTGATTTCACTGTGAAAAACTGTTCATGTCTCCCAGGCAGAATGTAACATCTTTGTTTCTTTGTGTTCTGTGACAAACGAAGCTGACAGAGAAGATGAAACCCTTAAACACCAACATCTGTGGTGTAGAGGTTAGCACGCCATGAGGGGAGAACTTCTGATCGAGTACCTCAGTCTTTCTGCAGGGGCGTTGTATCCCAACAGCTAAATCACCTGAATTTTATCAATAGGGGCGTAAAATATACCCAAAACCTAACCCCCAAAATGGTGCATGGGACTTTAACTTTGGGCTCATACATTACCTAATTGCAGGCAATAATGTAGGCCTACAGGATGAACACAATACCCTCGCCCTTGCACACAGACCTTCTGAGTTTGAATCCCTAGTGGGGTGAACTTTTATCGAGTAGCCTATCACGACCTTTTTGTTGGGATGTTGCATTCAACATGGGCTGGTACCAGATAGACAGGGTCGGAAGTGCAACTTCTAAATGATCTTAATCGTGTCGATGGTGGTGCAAAAACACCAACATTTACAGAAACCTTCATAGAGATCAGCTCGGTTTTCCACATCCCCTTTTAGAATATAGTCCATTGGACATAATCTATATGACCTATGTGTGTTACAAGTGCCGTAAAACTCTTATTACTAAACCTAACAACTACCTGTAGTCCTAAAGAGTTCTCAATGCCAAATGGTGTCTCAGCTTTCAGTAGGCTTAAGTGAAACTTCTAGCTGAACCAAAGTGGCTTCATGTTCTCAGTGAATTGGGTTTCATCTTCTTGAGTTGGTTCAAATAAACATCTTTGTTTAAGGTCCCCCCACCACCAGTGTAACTTTCATTCCTTTTTTTTTAAATTTCCTTGTTTGATTCCCTTTGACACATTGTTTGACTCCTGTTAATATTGGTTTCTTGATGTGGTTACTTTTCAATTGTCCTCATTTCTTGTGGAAGCCTTTTTGGAGACAAGCTTGAACATAACATATTGAATGTAATGTGTTGTTTTATTTTGATGCAGTCTGATTGAAACTCTGTTGTATTGTGTTTTTAAGACAACCTAGTATGATGAATACTATGACTCAAAGAGTCTGAGAGGTGGGGGAGAGAGAGAGAGAGAGAGAGAGAGAGAGAGAGAGAGAGAGAGAGAGAGAGAGAGAGAGAGAGAGAGGGAGAGAGAGAGAGGGGGGGAGAGGGAGGAAGAGAGAGAGAGAGAGAGAAGGAGAGAGAGAGAGAAGGAGAGAGAGGAGGGGGCGAGGAGAAAGAGAGATCATTCATTTTGGGAAATCATGCAATGAACAGATAGACAAATGACACTTACTTTTGTTGACAAGCTGTTCAAATGTTCTAACCCCAGAAGACAAAAGTTTCTAGGAGAGAGAGAGAAAAAAAAGCTAGTGTTTCATTTCTCTAGAAGATTGCACCCACATTATGTATCCTTTTTTTTCTTCTTTTTGAAAATATAATTAAAATTTGCTTTTCTAAAAAAATCTTCTCCCATCTTATGCAGCCAACTGCAATTTTTTAAACTGTCACAGTTTTGGGCTTAGTGCGTCTGAACAGCTAGCCGATTATAAAAGTTCTTCAAATACAACAGAGACCTTTGAAGTTTTTATTTTATTTTATTTTTGTACGGTATGTTTATTTCGCTGTTGCCTCAGTTTTGCAAGCACTCAACTTTCGTTTTGTTCTGTTTTGTTTTTCCGCTCCCGGGCGCCTGTAGAAGCACTAACGTGGCAGAGGGGCTGACGTCATTATGCCAGACATCTGGCAGGTAGAACCTTGGTGTGGTGGACAGTGTGGACGTTTTTGACTGTGTTCTGTTCGTCATGTGACATGTGTTATGTGCCATGTGTCATGTGACATGTGTCATGTGCCTTGTGTCATGTGCCTTGTGCCATGTGTCATGATGTGTCATGTTTCATGTGACCTGTGTCATGATGTGTCATGTGACATGTGCCATGTGTCATTTGTCATGTGACATGTGCCATGTGTCATATGTCATTTGTCACGTGTCAGGCAAATGTCACGACTACACACTTTGTTGAAAAGAAACCCGGAAAACAAAAAAAGTGTTATATATAACAATTGTAGAGCAATAGGGTACAACTTGTTACAGAGAACACATTGTTTACTATCTGTTTCTTGATAAACGAAGGAAATCAGAAAATAAGAACATTAATTGACAGTTTACGGAATACTAATAAAAAATGTTTTTGAAATAGTGACAATCGATAGCTATGGCTTATGTATAGGAGTAAAATCAAATCCTTTGTAGGACCTCAGATGTTCCCTCATGCTCCAGCATTACTTCTGTCTCTGGAGATATTTACACTTGTTGTTCCGGGGAAAGGCAAATGAACCAAATCCATCTCGATAATTTACTTTTTTTGGTCAATATTTTGCTGAAGATGCAAAGTACATAAATCAAAGTGTGTAGCTGTGATTATTTTGTCCTGGAAGAGATTTCCTTTAACAGCTGCAGTTTGCTCAAATTCTGGAAAACTGACTCTGTGTGTTATTTTATTGATCTCATCTCTTGTAACCCGCACCCACTGTTGATGTTAAGAGTACTGCATTGACTCTTGCCTTTGCTACACCACTCCTTCATGTGTTCCTTTTACAAAAACAAAACGTTTTTCTATCGTTTGCTGCTTAGTAACACTGTATCATGTCAGATAATCGAGCGTTCCCTGCATGTATCATGTCAGATAACCATGCATTCCCTGCATGTATCATGTCAGATAACCATGCATTCCCTGCATGTATCATGCCAGATAACCATGCATTCCCTGCATGTATCATGTCAGATAACCGCTATGTAACTTCACCATATCATGTCAGATAACCGTTAATTCCCTGCATGTATTCATTCTATTCTAATGTACCTTCATACCTTTTTTCACGCATGTAACGATATTATTATCTCTACTAATGCTACTACAATGTGTGTATATATATATAGATCTACATGTGTTTTTGCCTGCACCTTAACAAGTAATAATTCAATATGGTATTATTTTATCCACCTGCTTAATATGTTGAGTTCAGTTTCCATGTCTTGTGTTTTTACTCTTTAGTAATTTTTTTGTTGTTGTTTTTGCTGTGTGGTGAATATGTATGTGAACTTTGGTGTGGTTAAGATTTCATGAGCGTGTCATTACAGAACGTTATAATTGTAGGGTCTAGGCCGACGTTATTTTATGCTTTAATGTTTAATGTTAGTATGTGAGAGTTTTAGCGTCTGTAAAATGACAGCTTGCACTGTATGCTTCCCAGGAAAATGAGATTGTTTCAGTTCTGCTGGGGTAATAGTATAGATTGTAAAGCGCATAGAGCTTGCTGATGAGAGGAAATGTGTGTTATAATCAAATGGTATCTATTATTAGAAGGCTATTATTTAATGATAACGGAAAGATTTTGTTTTCATGTCGTGAACCGCGAACCTGACAGCTGAGAGGGAAAGACACCAAAATGTAATCTACAGGGAAATGTTTCTCCGTGCATGTGTGTTGTGTAAGTTAATATTGAAGAACATTGGACGGAGGTCTGTGGTGTTACAGTTAGGTGAGTTTGCCATCGCTTGTAGGAGACCCAAGTTCAATTCCCAAGTGGGGAGAATTTTTTTATCAAGTGTCTCGGTCTTTCTGCTCGGATCTCGTATCCCTCTCTACCTGCGTTGGCCCTGACAGGCAAGGTCATAGTACGCGCCTCGTAGATTATCTAAATTGCGTTGATAAAGGCGTAAAAACTCCTAAATTAAAGAAGAACAATAAAAAAAACCATCCAAAACAGAAGTGGAGCAATGGACGCTGTCCAACAGCAGCAGACGTAAGTGTCGTCATTACCCCCCCCCCCTCCTTTCCCCCTAATGTCCTTTTCCAAGGATAAAGTCATAGGACAACTGCTGCGGTAGATCAATCTATTTTTGTATGTCGTTAATGTTTTCAATTTAATAACAGTATAAGCTCAAGTTCACATACACTGTGTATGTTCTACCATTGTTGTATGTTATAGTTCCACACCGGGCACCTGTACTGTGACAGCTCAACAAACACTGTTGCTTTTGGAACACTCACTCACTTTTGCCTTGTGTCGTTGCGTATCATCTGTAGTATTAAGCTCAAAAGTAATAATCAATTATTAATGATAATAATAATAATAATAATAATAATAATAATGATAATAATAATAATAATAATAATAATAATAATAATGATAATAGTGCAGATACTGTAATGTTTATAGCGCCCACTTCTGTACAATACTGCTCTAAACGCCGTGCAATACCTATTCATCTTAACATACATACTACAAGTGAATGAACAAGCATACATACGCTCTTCAGATTAATGCTATTGTGAGTGGAGGTAGGTGCTGGGGTCTTCCAATAAATGAGCAACAACTTACACGTAAAATTCTTCACTTTACCTAAAGTTAAATTAGAACCTGCTCATAAGCCCCCCCCCAAAAAAAAATGTGGTGGGGGATTAAGAAAAGAAAATTATTTTTTTTTAGTCATCGTTAACGGGTAGCCTACTTTTTCTTTTATTTTTTTTCCTTTAAATTTTCTACTTATGTTATATTATTAGGTACATGTTTATATATATACCTAGGTTCACCTGTAGTTGCTACAATAGTTTTCCAGGGCTAGAAATGATCTTTGGCATCATCTGCGCCAGCTATGCTTTGTCATGGGTAAATTATTGTCGTGTTGTGTAGCCTTCACTGAAATTTTTCTGTGGAAAATTATTAACACATCATCCTTTCCCCCATCCCCTTCGTCCTTTTTAAAAAATCTTTTCAACAGTATTCTCCAACCAAACTGCATCCTGGACAGCGTCAGAAGCCCGGCACGACGTCACGAAACGCCAACAGCTCTCTCAGGGGCGGTAACCCACTCAGCAGAACAAGCTTGTTGTCTCCCTTCCCTAGAGCTCAGCAGACGACAAGACTTTCTCACGTGTCCTCTTTCTCCATAAGAAAGTGAATCAATCCAGAATGAAGACCGATTTCAGTTTCAACCGTTTTAAGGTCATGTTTCGAAAAAAAAAGAGAGTGCTTAATATATTGGCTGATTTGATGGGGACAAAGTTCAAACGCTGGCCGTGAACCTGAATTTAAACTGCTGAAATTTACGGCTAACTTTATATATATATATATCAATTTATTTTATGAAACTTTAGCAAGAAGAACTGATTATTTAAAAACCTGTATATTTTTGTAAATAGCGATCATGAAAGATGACTGTGAGTGTGGATTATGGAATTTTCACTTCACAATATTTGCCTATTGTATTTATATTAATAAGTTGTCAACTCAAATCGATGATAATTTTTGTTCAAAAGAAACTTTGAAGTTTCAGCTTATTCAGCATTACTTTCTGTTTTCTGTATTTATATACGTGTATTTTTTTTTAAGACATCAAATCCAATGCCTTCTTCAAAGGCAACCTGTTGAACTTTAAAAGAGTTCCCATTTTAATGAACTTCTCTTTATGTGTTGCCAAAGTTTATGTCGTTGTTCTCATGAAGGCTAAGCAATATTTATTGTACCAAGTTCAACTTTGTCAAAATAAAAAAAACACACTTAGCAAATGAAAAAGTTTGATTCCAGAAGAGAAATAAAAACAGATCCTTACCAAAAGGAACAGTAGAACAATTATTTCCACTACACTGACTGCTTAGTTTCAAACTTCACCATGTATGTCATTTTGAAAAGTGATGTGTAAGTCGGTGTCTTCCACTGAACTTTTGGCTTGAAGTGGACCATAGACCTTGAGGTTGAAGTTGACGAGCTTTGGGTGTGAAGTCTCTACCGTAAAAATTATTTTTCTATTTTTAGTCTCAACGAAGTTTCGATGCCGAATGGTGTGTCAACCTACGGTTCACGTTATAACATAGGTAAATATATCAGCTTTCTTACTTGCAAAACTTGGTCCTTTGTAGCTAGCATCCTTTTAGTAATAAAAAGATGGTGTTGAATGTAGCCTATTATTTTGTTGCCTTTCGAAAAGAAATACTTACTCGTTTTTCTATTTTCATGACTGGTCAATTGTATAAAAACTTGTCTGTGATGTGTTTGAAACAGGTGTTTGTATTACGGTCTAGAACGCAAATAGCAGAATCCGGAAATCTTGTTGCGTTTAAATTTTGCTAGGTGTGCATTTTAAATACAAAGAACATATGTGTCACAATGCGGTAGAATCAGGCACTCGTCAATTTTTGAGTATATGGAGTTATTGGTATCATCTTAAAGGTTTGAATCGATTTGCCTTGCATTTGATGAAAAAAATATCCATTTATCTTGAACAGAAGAGGAGATATTTGCGATTGAAAGAGGTGGGGTCACCTGGTTTCAGAAATTAATTAACGAGAAAATGGCAGCCAAAGTTTGGTCACTTCCATAGCTCAAGAGTCATTGGAAACTGCAAATTTACTTTTTTCGTGCCTTTATTCAACGTTTTTCCATAAAATCCTCCCACACATATGAATGTTTTGAAATGAACATACAAGGTGTTGAGCCAAAAAACAAAAATTTTGTTAAATTTCCAAACTGACCGAAAAAATGATGATTTTTTTTATTTCTTTATTTTGACCATCGCCTGATTTCACCACGATGCCTCACATATAAGGGACCTGAAGATATGTTGTCTATGTAAGAGTTTCGTTATGTACTATGTGCATATTTCACTACATGCGTGTCGCTATGTGCATGCTAGACCACAGAACTACAGTATTCCGGTTATTTTTGTTTTACATTTCAGGGCTTTCTATGGGGTTTTTACGTACGTTATATTTGCGTCCATTCAAAAGTGCCTTAGTCTCTTCTGTGTATTCATTGTAAACGCATCACAAATTTGTTTCTTTGTTTATGTCACTGTGTCCATCCAGGTTTTCTGCTCATTATTTATATATCTCTTTGTTTCGGTAGCTGTGTTGTGATGTGCACAGTGGTAATGGAATGATAAAGGCTATCACATGTTTCCTTTATATTTCACAAATGTGAGGCATGCTGACAAAATGAGTAACTTCTCGCAATCCACAAATAGAGATATTGGCCAAAAATCGACATTAGGGTCAAATTTGTAGATTTTCTATTGATGACATATTCTTTAACTATAAAACTATAACATGTCTTTTATTGTCTCATACCTATAAATTGTAAAAACTTCCCCTACTATAAGCATGGATCTATTTCTTTGAGGTCTGAATCCAAGAAGTAACTCATTTTGTCAGCACACTTAATAATAATAATAATAATAGATAGCATTTGTATAGCGCATATCCCCTCTCAACAGCAGGCTCTATGCGCTTTACACTTCACATATCTGTATTCCTGCAGGCAGACAATTCTGTCTTACCAAGGGGGTTACTCAAAGTTATTGTCAATTTAGAAGAAAGATATTTTGGGTCATTCAAAGATAATCACCAGACATTAATAGACAATATGTTTGTACAGTTGTCCCTGAACAGAAGCTATCGTCACAGGAGTGTGTCCCCGTGGTTTTATGCACCCCGCATAATTTAGCAAAATTTGATCATTTTTTGCATAATTTACAATTATTTTCCTTTATCAGTCTTTGTTAAAATTAGCAGAATCGCATAATTTCACATTTTTGGGCTCAGTTTGCGTAATTTCAGAATTTTTCTTGCGTAAAACGACGGGGACAGTATGATAATAGGTAAAGCAACTGAACAAATGTGTTGTTACATCATACACAGATGGCATGGGTTCCAATTTGAATCTCTTATGATGTATTTCTAATAAACCTAAACCTGTCTCCTTTTAGGGATCTGAAAGTTATAAACTCTGTATTGCAAGATGTCTCTGGCTTCTTTGAAGGCCTTTTTTATTTGTTGAAAAGGGTGCAAAACTCAAAACTAGACTCAGCTTCCAAATACCGGCCACTAGAATTGTGCCAGATAACTACAGTAATTTTTTAAAACACCAGTGCTTGCCAACTGGGACGCTATCACCCACAAATGAGAGATTTGGTCATTTCGGTGGGCGGTGGGGGTCACCTGAGTATTGTCAGGTGTTCTTTTGTGCCCCGTTAGGAAATACATGTAGGTGAGCGGTATGAAAATATAAAATTTAGACAATCAAAGGCGGCGAAAGTGGGCACTGGCCATTAAAGGGTTAACAAGGACTGTATTAACACTTTGCAGTCACACAGCCAGCAGTACAAATACCCCATCTGGTCACCCAGCCAGGAGAGTGACTGCAACAGACTTCTCGGCTGCGCCAGGTGACAGGAACAAATAATGTTCACCGGTTCATTATGGCGGTAAGTGAGGGCAAAGTGTTACATGATGTCTTGTTGTTTTTCCCTTCGTCGATAATGTTGGACGATCTCTGACCACGATGAAGAGGCTTTATTTTTGTGCTCTGAAATAAAACAAACTTAAGTTAACTTAACAGATCCGTTGTGTCACTTCAATCATTCCCCCCCTACTACTCATGACCAGCAACTTCTGTAAGCGTTCCTTCATATACTCCAGTCTTCCACAGGAAAACTCTGTACATGTATTGAGCGGAGAATGTTTCTTTTTTCTTTTGTTCAGTGTCTTTACGCCCCCATCCACACAGTTCAGATCATTTAAGAGGTGGGCTTCAGCCTTGCCTATCAGGGCCAACCCGGGCTAAGGGGGATACGACGTCCCAGCAAAAAGACCGAGATACTTGATAAAAAATTACCCCACAAGAGAATCAAGCTCTGGTCTTCTGCGTGTGACAGCAAAGTCCCCAACCAACCACTACACCACAGACACCGATGCGAAGAACGTACCACAACCCAAACCATCGAGACCACCCCATTTAAACACAGTCATGTTTCATACCACGGTCAGAGCTTACTATAAGCAGAAGAAAACCTATGCCAGTACACTGCTGTAAGCTGACAAAACATCTTTTGTTCGCATCTGACACAGAACGGCTTCTCATCCCCCTGTAGGAGGTATTTGTGGGTCAGGGCTGTGTGTCCGATGCGCAATCGAGTAAAAATGACTTCGTCTCTTCTGGAGAGGTCCGTAGGATTTCCCTGTTCTAGTTTGGGTTTTATTTCATTTAGTTTATTATTTTTCTGGTTTTCCCAGTGGCTCTCCCACAGACTGGAGGTATGTTTTGTCAGTTTACGGCAGAGTACACTTCATTCTTTTCTTTGTCAATAGCAAATAGGACAGACACCACTTCCATAATCTTATTTTTAATGTTTTAGTAACCCTTTTACTGCGCTTGCAACACAATTAGGTCATATAAGTGCCAAAGATAAGGTGATACAAGAAGGAAACAAATATAACAAAGGAGGAGAGATGACAGAACTTTGATAGGAAAGAAGGTGCAAACCACAACAGAGCATCCCTCACCCACTCACTGCCATCAAAAACAAAAGAAGTTCAAATCAAAAGTTTTTAAAAGAGCACCTCACCCAAATGTTTTTTTAACACAAGACACACCCTCCCCTCTCCGAAGCAAAAAAAGGAACTCATTCTCTAAATCTAAAGCAAGAAGAGTGCACTTTCTCACAACAAAGAGTATTCCTCAACTCATTTATTATTACATATTAAAGAGTCATAAGAAATCAAAACAGATACTTCAAACTACTATGTATCTATTATATTATAAATATATAGACCTATACCAAATAACAATTAGAAATTTATTTCAGAGCAGGTCCACATAATTTCAACAGCACCTCGATCAAGATACCATGTCAAAGCAAATTTGCTCAAAATGTCGTAAAAAACAAAAGATATATATATATGTATATGTATGAGTATCATTGTAAGATTTCAGCAGTCATTGTAAGTTAAAAGTGACACTTACTGAAACTGTGACGATGCCTCAAAAATGTATATGTACCAAAATATTCCAATTGTTATAAAATGTAAACATAAGGCAAAAAAGGAAATCTTTGGCCATTTTTCCTTTGCCTCCAGACTGAAAATCTAAATAAGTGTTCAAAAAAAGAAAAGAAAAAGTCCTAAAATCATCAGCTGGCAAAGGTATCTTTTATCTGTGAGGCATCGTGGTAAAATCAGGCACTTGTCAAAATAGTGAAAGTTGAGAAATCAGCATATCATGGCCAGTTTGGACATTTTTTTCTAATTTTTTTTGGGGGGCTCAAAACCTTGTATGTCCATTCAAAAACACTATTAGGTGTGGATTTTATGGAAAAACGTTGAATAAAGGCACAAAAAAAGTAAACTTGCAGTTTCCAAGGATTCTTATGCTTTGAAAGTCACCAAAGTTTAGCAGCCATTTTCTCATTAATTTTACTTCTGAAACCAGCTGTGACCCCATCTCCTTCAGGTGACCCCATCTCCTTCAATCGCAAATATCCCGACTTCTCGAGATAAATGGATATTTCTTTCATCGAAAGCAAGGCACATATAAGAACTTTTAAGAAGATACCAATAACTCCATTTACCCAGAAATTGACAAGCGCCTGATTCCATTGCGTTGTGACACATTTAAATTATGCTCAAAGTCCACTGTGCCACTGGATATCACTGAAAATAATCTTGTCAATGACACTGACGGAGTTTTGTAATAACTGCATAATTTAGGCAAACATGGTGTTAACACATTTTTTGCCTAAACAGTGATACATTTGAGATAATTTTTTAGACAAAAATAGAAGTAACATAATTGTAATAATAATATGAATGAATGTGGATAAAATATTCTATATATATAGATGCCACATTCTGTAAATCTGAATGTATATATTAAGAAAAGATTGTATACAAAAAAGTAGAAATTGTCACATGGCAGGCAAGTTCACAAAAGCGATATATTGTTATCATTGTATTGCATACAGCAATAATGGTACCGTAACAGCAACAACATCGAATTCTACTAAAAAACATAGGTGACAGCAGTTGTTACATCGGGCTCCACTAGTCAACTTCCCATACATTGACCTACAACTAAGCCTCATGTATAACTCAGGAATACAGGGTGAGGGGTCCTTTTGCTACACAATCCGTTCATGTTTTGTGGGTCGCACGTCGCACGCCGCACGTATAATATGTGGTAAATTTCTGACAGGCTCGAAGGAGCTAAACTTGGGAGAAATCAAGTCCACTACTAGTTGGACATCAAGTCTGGCTGACTGTGAGGAAATGTTCACTAGAAATATGGAGAAAAAAACGTGTCATACAAGAAACAAAAGGTGATAAAGCTTCACTGTTCTAGTCGAGTCTTGAAATGAGGACATCTCAGAGAAGATTTTTTTTGCACAGCTGTTCGGTTTCCAGATTGGGATCTACGGGGGTTGGGGGATGGGTTGGGGGGTGGGACGGAGGTTGGGGGGAGGTTGTTAGAGTCTCAGTCGCCGTCTCATGTGTGGATTTATGATGACCGTGGAGTGAGGGTCAGCTGTATGGGCTCAGAAGGCACCAGAACCGCGCGAGAAACAAGCTTCAGTTCCCGTGTTGTGGTGCTCAAGCGAAACCGTTGGAGAAGCTGGTTATTGGCATGAAAAACAAAGAAAAAAACCCAAAAAATCATCAAACTGTTTTTTCAACATACAAAAAAACAAACAAACAGAAAAATCATCAACTGTTGTTTGTTCTGTTTTTTTTCACATGAAAAAAGCCCCAAAAATCTTCAAACTTTTTTACAAATAGACAACAACAAAAAAATCCAGAACTTTTTTCCAAATAGAAAAAAAAAATCCGGAACTTTTTTCAAAATAGAAAAACGAAATGAAACATTTTTCTCCACTAAAAAAAATAGAGAGATATACATCACCAACAGACCACCAAGAGAACCAACACCAACATTCCTTACCTCAACACAAAGCAACTGCATCTCCGACACAGCAATCCTCCGACCTGGGGTTGGGGGGGGGGGTGGAGGAGAGAACAGTTGACACGTGAGTGGGAGAGAACAGTTGACACAGTTGACACGTGAGTGGGAGAGAACAGTTGACACGTGAGTGGGAGAGAACAGTTGACACGTGATTCCACTTCAGAATGTTGTACACAGCACATAATATATATCTCGAGATTTCATCCCAATCAGAACAAGGGGACAGCACTCAGACAAACACAGACAAGGTCAAACAAGTGAGGAGAAAACTGACAAGAAAACGAGACACTACAAGACCCTTCCATTTCCAGCTCCCAAACATCAAACATCCCACCCACCATCCATCAAACATCCCACCCACCACCCATCAAACATCCCACCCACCATCCATCAAACATCTCACCCACCACCCACCACCCATCAAACATCCCACCCACCACCCATCAAACATCCCACCCGCCTACCACCAACCACCTGTCACTGTAGTTTGTCTTACATCTCCAACTTTTCTTACCAAAAGACATTTTGACCATCTGAAACTTTGAAACTTTGCTGTAAGACCCTCATTTCACAGCGCAAAGGCCTGGCTATGATCAAACTTTTCTGTAAGACCCTCATTTCACAGCTCAAAGGCCTGGCTATGATCAAGCTTTTCTCAAAATTAAATAGATATTAGTGGCTTATACAAGTACACCAGGTACATTTTATAAAATGATTACATTTTATCAAGTGATTCCATTTTGGAAGTCATTTTTTAACAATGGTACTTTTACTAAAATTGTACAATTGTCACACAAAAACAAACATTTGTTTTAAAAAATAGGGTTCAACAGGAGAAAAAAACACTACTTTTCATTTACTTCAAAATTGAGCCAAAAAGAACAAAACAGGGTGGTCCCTGAAAAAAGCAAATATCTGTGAAGAAAACACAATTTTTGTCATACTAAATACTGAGGGATACAGTGCAATTTGAAGAAAAAAAATTACTGTCACAACAAATTTTATCACTAGATGATTTTAGATTACAGAGTGGACAGGGTTTTCTGCCAATGCCCAGACTTGACGGACACTTCCTTTTGCAATGGAACCCTTCAAATATCACGCATACACCTAAATACATATCACACATACACCTAAATACATCACATATACACCTAAATACATATCACACATACACCTAAATACATCACATATACACCTAAATACATCACATATACACCTAAATACATATCACACATACACCTAAATACATATCACACATACACCGAAATACATATCACACATACACCTAAATACATATCACGCATACACCTAAATACATCACATATACACCTAAATACATATCACGCATACACCTAAATACATCACATATACACCTAAATACATATCACACATACACCTAAATACATCACATATACACCAAAATATACATATCACACATACACCTAAATATATCACACATACACCTAAATACATATCACACATACACCTAAATACATCACATATACATCAAAATATACATATCACGCATACACCTAAATACATCACATATACACCAAAATAATATACATATCCCACATACACCTAAATACATCACACATACACCTAAATACATCACACATACACCTACATACATATCACGCATACACCTAAATATATCACATATACACCAAAATATACATATCACACATACACCTAAATACATCACACATACACCCACATACACATCCATCTCTACACTGACTCACCGACACAACTTCTCTGGCCCAGCCCAAAAGGGACGTAACTAAACGGGTCTGGAGGTTTCACGCCAGAGTTACGAATCCAACGCTCGGGGCAGAGTTCTGTCGGGTTCTCAAACACTTCGGGGTTGCGGCCCAGGGCGTAGTGGGAGACGTACACCTGTGTCTGGGAAACACGGGAAATAATATCGTCCAAGGTCAAAGGAGATAAATATTTGACGTGCTGACAAATTGAGTTAGTTCTCGTAATCTGCTAATGGAGATATAGACTGAAAACCAACCCAAGGGTCAAATTTGTACATTTTCAACTGATGCCATTTTCTTCAACGCAATTTCTTTTATCATTTCAAACTAATAAATGAACAATAAATGTGGTGTACAATTAATCTTTCCTCATATATGCGCGCACACGCACATGCACACACACAGACCTTCTCTCTCATCACACACACAGACATACATTGTTATGAAGTGAGAACAAACAAGTTTATACATTAAGATACAAGTTTATACATTAAGAAACAAGTTTATACATTAAGATACAAGTTTATACATTAACATACAAGTTTATACATAAAGGGCACTCCATTAGCTCAGCTGTTAGGGTATTTATTATTTTTATTTTCATTAGTTGATATCATGCCCGCCTAGTGAGGAGATGGCCCTGGTTCAAATCCCAAACTGGGAATTCTTGAACTCGGGTCGTTTTTGTGGATTTTTCAAGGCTCCCAACCCATATGGCTCAGTCCTTTTGGAGACGGATTTAAAATTCAGAGATCCCGTCTCTTAAAACTACCGCAAAGCGTTGACAGGGGTGTTGTAACAGTATTAATAATAATAATAATAGATAGCATTTGTATAGCGCATATCCCCGCTCAACAGCAGGCTCTATGCGCTTTACACTATATTATTACCCCAGCAGACCATAGAACACTCCGAAACATTCTCAGCTTCCCGGGAAGCATACAGTGCAAGCAGCCGATTAAGCACTCAAACACTAACAAACTGACAAGATCTTTCGCTGTCTATAGCCGGGTACCCATTCCCACCTGGGTGAAGTGAGGAAAATAAATGTAAAATGCCTTTCCCAAGGACACAACGTCGGGTCCCTGACGGGATTCAAACCCACGACCTTACGGTTGCGAGTCCGAGAGCCTAACCACTAGGCCATAATTGTATTATGTTTTGTACCGCTGGGCTGGATCCTGAAGAGGGGGGGAGGGCAGAGATGGACATGTTCCGACAGCAGTGACCCCAACACAGTGGACAAGTAAGACAAGTAAGTAAGTATATTTTGTACCCTAATGTTTTGGCTCTGATTAGTATAAGCCAAGGGAAACAACAGTTCATGCTTCTAGTTTTAGTTTTAGTAGAGGGTTTTAACGGCGCTCACAACTGCATAAGGTCATATGAGCGCCAAGGGGTGGGTGTCAACAGAGAAATCTTTACAGGGAATCAGACTTACTCTGCTCACCTCTCTAGCTTCAACAGCACAAAGTCTGCTTCGACTATCAAGGCACCCCAAAATAGCAGGTCACAAGAGAGTGACAAACATACAAAAGAAGTAGAGGAAAATGACAATAGTAAGGATCAGGAAAGAAAAAGCAGCAGTTCCCTGTTGAAGATCAGGCACAGTTATGAGTGTGACATGAGTCAGCACATTTACAATTCTACTATGCTTGAACGAAAAATGTCCCCCCTTTGGGAAAGGCCTAAAACACTACTGAGGGGTCAGTTCATGCTTGATTGATGAGAGCTCTTCAATAAAAAAGATGAGTCATTGCACTGGGTGAGTGGTGGCTGACCAATATGACGCGGTGGTGTTTTGTGTCTTGTGTGCGTATTAAGGTATCTGTGGTCTGTCCTGTTTGATATCAACCATCCACACCTTTACAAGCGTCAATCCCATACACTTAACCCTTCCAGCCCCAGCAGTTTTCTGAATTCCCTAACACCAGTCCCAGCCAATACAGCAGTAGTTCAGAAAAAGAGGCATGCATTCTAAAATGAGATGTAGTATCTTTGTAATGAGGTATAGATAATGACAAACAACATTGTTTAAAGGTAAATGAACAAATATTTTGAAAATTAAACTTTAAGTAGGTTCGCTACTTTCGAAAAATGTGCAAATTCGGTACCCCCCCGAAACTGAGAATATACGCTCTTGGAATGGTGGGAGGTACAAGTAGGTAGCGTAAACATGGCCTCGCAGGCACTCGCGGCCTTCCGACCGCGTGGTATCGGTAAAATCGGGGTAATTCCAATCGCCGTTTCTTCGTTCTTTCGCTATAAAACACCAAGTGCCTTTGGCGTCTTTATAAAAAGCTTTTAAAAATACCGTCAAAATGTTTAAAGATCCCTTTTTACACAAAATATGTATAATACCGGCTTATAACTGGCATCAATTAAAAGATCAGTTCATTTTCTATTAGAATAAAGTTATTAACTTGGAATTATTTTTCATCAATCCTTCCGCGAGACTCAGAAAGCATGTGACCCCGCACGCGGGGTACACTACAATATAGAGCCGACTCGCTCGCCGCGGGGGCCGGTGCGTGCCGCCGGGTCAACGCTCGGTGTTTTTGTCGAAATAATGACAGATCATCGTGTTTGAGGCAATAAAATACTCATTTGTAAAGATCTCACAGTCTTGAAAAAAATTAGGCTCCATATATTTGTTATAGTGATTGTGCTCTGTTAATGTGGAGATGTTTAGTGCACTTGGTACTTTTTTATTGTCTGTCAAACATGGGGTTGCAGCCAGTGACTAACTTCAACAAATTTGATCAAATTTTAAACAACTACCATTTTCTTAAAAATTGACAGAGAGGTTAAAGAATGGTACCAAAATGCTCAGTGGATATAGGCCTTTCAAATGGAACAGATAAATTTGGCATACAGCTAGTTTGAAAATTTAGTTTCTGGTACCTAGTACAAGCGCTGCTGAAAATATATGCTCACGGGGCTGGAAGGGTTAATATAACAAATACACAAAGCACAACTCACTCCTTGAGGAATCTGATAGCCACACACGACAGCTCCCTCCTCCAGCATGCGAGCCGACACAAACCCGACGGGATACAGTCTGCGGAGGTCATGAGGTCAATGTGAGGCATGGTTATTTGTGTGGCCAGGTGGTGAAATCAGGCAAAATTATGAAATCAAAGAAACCGACATTTTAAAACCTGTTAGCCAATTTTTGTAGCTTTTGGTTTTTTGGGTTTTTTGGGCAAAAACTGCTACCTGAAAAAGTTTGATCAAAGTCAGAGGCACAAATAAAAGTACATTTTCAGTTCCCGAGGAGAGTTTTGAGAGTCCCCAAACATAGGAGCCTGTTTTCTGAACTATTTGACCTCTACCATCAGGCTACCCCACCTCTCTCAACAACAAATATCTTGACTTCAATCTTGACATGCCCCAAAAATTGATGAGCGCCTGATTCCACCATGTACTCACACTTTTAAATACAGATAAAATTGTCTGAGATGACCATCCATAGATGAGAAGAAAAGTGGCCGTCTTTCAAGAGAAAGGAATGGATGAGAGAGGGAAAGGAATGGATGAGAGAAAGGAATGGATGAGAGAGGGAAAGGAATGGATGAGAGAGGGAAAGAAATGGATGAGAGAGGAAAAGGAATGGATGAGAGAAAGGAATGGATGAGAGAAGGAAAGGAATGGATGAGAGAAAGGAATGGATGAGAGAAGGAAAGGAATGGATGAGAGAGGGAAAGGAATGGATGAGAGAGGGAAAGGAATGGATGAGAGAAAGGAATGGATGAGAGAAAGGAATGGATGAGAAAGAGAGAAGTTCTGGGAGAAAATTGATGGATTGTAACTAAGGGTTGGTCAAGCACTGAGAGCTACCTTTAGTAGTTAGTAGTTAGTAGTATAGGGTTTTACGGTGCTCGCAACTGCGTAAGGTCATATGAGCACTGAGAGCTACCTTTAGTAGTTAATAGTTAGTAGTATAGGGTTTTACGGCGCTCGCAACTGTGTAAGGTCATATGAGCACTGAGAGCTACCAGGAAGAGAAAAAAAGAAAATCTAGAAAAAGCAAAAAATATTCAAAGTGTTAAAATCTGAAAGTACAAATCTCATTTTTTTCCGTCTGAACAACAACTCTGACAATACATAAGGAACAAAAGAAAAAAAGAAAAAAGAAAAAGAAAACCCATTTCATACAGGTATCCAACCTGAATCAAAATGTGAGACAGAGTAGGAAGAGACAGTTGTCTTTAATACAACTGTCTTTTCAATCAGTGGTTCCATTAACTGTACTGTGAAAAGAATCTTGAACTTTTTCGACCCCCAGGAAATGATCAAGCAGGGACTCAAAACTTGCGGGACATACTGTTTGACACATTTTGCCTGGAGACTACTTTTATACAACGTGTAGTAAGTCATCCCCATCTTGACCTGCCAATGCCAGACATGGACCCTGACCAAAAGTCTGGAACGTAAGATAACCACCTGCCAGATGAGATGTCTAAGGAGAGCCGTCAACAAAACCAGACGGGACATGGTCAGAAACAACAAGATCAGAGAAATGGTGGGAACAACACCTGTCCTCCACTACATCTGAAGGCAAACAATCAGGTGGTTTGGACATCTCATACGCATGGCACCTAACCAGTTTGCCAGTAAAGCTTACTACAGGAAAGTATCAGGGTACAAGGCAAGAGGAAGACCAAGAAAGACCTGGACCCAGGGTGTGAAGGATACCCCAAGAACATTCAATATCCCACCCAGCCAGGCCATCAAACTTGCTAGAGACAGGAAGCTCTTTCTCCCCTCGACGCCCTAGAGGTACAAGAGGACGGAGAAAAGTAAAAGAGTAAAGTGAAGTATGCGCAAGTCGGCCAAAAATCTGTACTACCAGGTTTAACAGGAAAATCAGCGCCTCAGTTGGTTTTCTGTTGGTTTTCTTCACGAAGAAAAACACCTACCTGGTGACCTCCTTGATGACCCCCATGGTGTACGCCAGTTTTTCCAGCCTCTGGTAGGTGACCTCTGTGCCATGTGGCAACACAGAAGAGATCTCGTCATACATTTTGTCCTGGACGTCAGGTCGACGAGCCACCTCCCACAGTAAGGCATGCACGCTGTTGGACGTCTGCTCACGATAATGATAGTAATAATAAAGATAATAAAAATAGTAGTAATAATAATAGTAATAATAATAATAACAATACTAACAAAAATAATAACAATAATAACGAGAATAATAATAATAATAATAATAATAATAATAATAATAATAATAATAACAACAACAACAATAATAATAATAATAATAATAATAATAACACTAATACTACTAATGTAGTAATAATAAAGATAATAATCAAAATAATACTAACACTAATATTACTAATAGTAATAATAATAACAATAATAATAGCATTAGAAATATATTTCACTCTATAGCGTGTCTCCATTAAGAAAGTGCTCAATGAGCTTCATAACGATACAAAAAACCCCCACAAAAAACTAATGAGCTCCATACTGTTTTAATAGTGATCTTTTCTCTCCATTTTTCTTTCTCTCTCTCTCTCTCTCTCTCTCTCTCTCTCTCTCTCTCTCTCTCTCTCTTTCCCTCCTTTCTCTTTAATTCACTCTCTTTCTCTCTCTCTGTCATTCTCTCCCCCTCCCCCTCGAAGCCCCAACTCTCTCTCTTTCTGATGTGATTGAATTTTTTGTTTACTTTATAGTCTAAGTAATCCCTTCTACTTCACTGTTCACTGCACATTCACATTCGACTCACCGTACGCCACTTTATTTCACGTATTTCAAGGAAACAAACGTCTTGTCCCCATCTACTCTCTCGCTACTAACATCGTCAAACACATCATCATTTACTCACGGCAGCAAACTTTGTTCCATCTTTTGTTTTGACTCACACAAAAGAAAAAAAAACTTTCAGTAATGTTTGGTACAACTTATGTTATGAAGCACATTTTTAAAAAAACTCAATCACAACCACAGGTATCTTTAAAAAAAAGTGGACACAGGACAAAAAAAAAGTTTAGTGCCATGAACAAATACATAAAACCTTTGTGAACTATACAAGGATGAGCAAAAAGTATGTACTGTGTCAACTGAAGCACTCATAATCTCAGTCACGGTGGATACCAGTTCATCTGGCGTCAAGGAATCCCGGGACAGGATGTGGCCAATGAACGAGCTGGGATTGAGGGAGTCTGTCTCCGACAAGCGATGAGTTATCTCCTCCTCCGCTGAAAGTTTAGGAAAAAAAAGGTTTTATTCAAGAGAATAAAGATAAACAATGTTTTGTTTTTTTAAGAGGTAAAGGACTTCTCTGAGTTGTGAGAATAAATTCCCTGAAAAAAAACCCTGGCAATAAGCTCTAAAGATATGGCGGACTTTCAACCATGTGGTTGAAAATTCGAATCTCGTCAGGGTCTTGGACATTGTGTCCTTAGCAAAGGCACTTTACACGAATTTTTCTAACTTCATCCAGGTGGGAATGGGTACCGGGCAAAAGACAGCAAAAGATCTGATCAGTTTGGCAGTGTCTGACTGTTTAGCCCCTGCTTCCAGTGTTTGCTTCCCATAAAACCGATAATGTTTCAAAATTACTCACTGCATGAGAATTGAACTATGGTCTCCTGTGTGCCACAACCGAGCACCTAACCACTACAACACAGACATTGGTAGACCGTCGACCAATCTCACCATAACGGAACAAAACGTCCATGTTGTCCCGGAAAGCCTTCCATGCTCTCGGCCGGATGAGTTTCCCCAAGGCCGGAGGGTAGAAGACCAGCTCTCCCGTCAAGCGGAACATCTCCTGGACGGCCTTGATGAAGGTCAGCGAGGACGGCTGGGGGTGTGAGGAGAGGCAACCCAGGCGACGGTCGTACAACACCAAGCATGCAGCTGTGGCAGAAATAGCACAAAGCCCATTTTGAAAACTTTCAACTCATAGCAGTCGACATTGAAAGTAACACAGCTGAAATTGTCCACGCCATCCATCCACTGCCAGGGATAAAAATGTGTCACAGCGTGGCGGAATCAGGCACGTCAATTTTTGGGGAAGTAGAGTTATTGGCATCATCTAAAAGCTTGCTTTTAACTTTTAAAAATATTCAAATATCTTGAACAGAAGTCGAGATACTTGCTATTGAAGGAAGTGGGGGTTGCCTGGTTTCAAAGGTAACGTTAGCGAGAAAATGGTTGCCAAAGTTTGGTGACTTCCGTAGCTTGAGAGCCATTAGAAACTGAAAATTAAAATTTTTTTGTGCCTTTAGTCAACAATTTTCAGTGTGTCTCGACGCTGTGAAATCTGGCACTCGTCAATTTTTGGGCATGTGGAGTTATTGGTATCATCTGAATGCATATTCATTTGCCTTGTTGTCAATGAAAATAATACCCATCTAACTTGATTAGAAGTCAAGATATTTCCCATTGAAAGGGGTGAAGTCGCCTGGTTTCTGTGATGAAATTAGCGAGAAAATGGCCGCCAAAGTTTGGTAACTCCAAAAGCTAAAGAGTCCTTGAAAACTGAAAAATGACATATTCTGTACCTATACTCCAAGTGTTTCAGTAAAATTCACAAGGAAATATATTTTTATATGGACATAAAAGGGGTTGAGCTAAAAAATATAATTCGATAGACAAATTGCGTTACTGGCGGAAAAATGCCTGTTTCTCCGATTTCGTTATTTTGACGAGCGCCTGATTTCACCAAGATGCCTCACAAATGTGTTTTTAAATGGATATGAAAGGTTTTGAGCCAAAAAAAAAATTTTAAAATTTTCTATAAAAATTCAGAAACCAGAAAAAAAATGCTGGTTTCTTCAATTTCAATATTTTGATGAGCGCCTGAATTCGCAACGACGCCTCACAAATGATTTTTAAGACAGGGGGAGGCATCTTGTACAGTGTCATTATGATTTAGAAAAAATGCCAAGGGGGAAGTTGGAAGTAGTCGATTGTCTCATACAGGTCGCTGATAGAGCAGGTGAGATTCTCATACAGATAGCTGATAGAGCAGGTGAGATTCTCATACAGGTAGCTGATAGAGCAGGTGAGATTCTCATACAGGTAGCTGATAGAGCAGGTGAGATTCTCATACAGGTAGCTGATAGAGAAGGTGAGATTCTCATACAGGTAGCTGATAGAGCAGGTGAGATTCTCATACAGGTAGCTGATAGAGCAGGTGAGATTCTCATACAGGTAGCTGATAGAGCAGGTGAGATTCTCATACAGGTAGCTGATAGAGCAGGTGAGATTCTCATACAGGTGGCTGATAGAGCAGGTGAGATTCTCATACAGGTGGCTGATAGAGCAGATGAGATTCTCATACAGGTGGCTGATAGAGCAGGTGAGATTCTCATACAGGTAGCTGATAGAGCAGGTGAGATTCTCATACAGGTAGCTGATAGAGCAGGTGAGATTCTCATACAGGTGGCTGATAGAGCAGGTGAGATTCTCATACAGGTGGCTGATAGAGCAGGTGAGATTCTCATACAGGTAGCTGATAGAGCAGGTGAGATTCTCATACAGGTAGCTGATAGAGCAGGTGAGACTCTCATACAGGTGGCTGATAGAGCAGGTGAGATTCTCATACAGGTCGCTGATAGAGCAGGTGAGACTCTCATACAGGTAGCTGATAGAGCAGGTGAGATTCTCATACAGGTCGCTGATAGAGCAGGTGAGACTCTCATACAGGTAGCTGATAGAGCAGGTGAGATTCTCATACAGGTCGCTGATAGAGCAGGTGAGATTCTCATACAGGTAGCTGATAGAGCAGGTGAGATTCTCATACAGGTAGCTGATAGAGCAGGTGAGACTCTCATACAGGTGGCTGATAGAGCAGGTGAGATTCTCATACAGGTCGCTGATAGAGCAGGTGAGACTCTCATACAGGTAGCTGATAGAGCAGGTGAGATTCTCATACAGGTCGCTGATAGAGCAGGTGAGATTCTCATACAGGTAGCTGATAGAGCAGGTGAGATTCTCATACAGGTAGCTGATAGAGCAGGTGGGACAGTAAGTGAAGCACACAAAAACCTCCCTCACACTCGAGCGCCCACTTGAAGAGCTCCTGGTCAACGTCCTTGACCTCCCCGTCCTCTTCCCTCAGCGCGGTCAGACGGTCCACAAGGTCAGCCGCTACGTCGTGCATGCCAGAAACATGGCCGCTGATCAGGTTAGGTCGCAGTATGGGCTTGTCCACTGTCTTACGTAGACGCTGCCATTCCTCGCCGAGGCTGATAGGCACAAGATAATAATAATAATAATAGTAGTAATAATAATAATGATACAAATAATAATAATGATAATATAAATAAAAATGATGATAATAATCATGAAAATATAAATAATAATAATGATATAATGATGATAATAATGATAATAAATAATATAAATAATAATAATGATAATAATGATGATAATAATAATGATAATATAAATAATAATGATGATAATAATAATGATAATAATAATAAAAATAATAATATCAATAAAGATAAAGCACTGTACAGCTATTATTACCCGGACAGACCCTGGATCACCCAGAAACATTCTCGGCTTCCAAGGAAGCATACAGCGCAAGCTGGAGATTACACACGCTTTAACACTAACAAACTGACAAGATTTAAAACGTTTTTAATGTAGGTGTTTTAAAGCCTTCTCTGATGTGATTTAAATCATTTAGTGGGCGGGATATCGACTCTGCCGGTCAGGGTCAACTCGTGTTAAGAGGGACACAACATCCCAGCAGAGAGACGGAGATATAAAGTGTACTCCATAGAAATTCTCCCCACTCAGGAACTGAACTTGGGTCTTCTGCCATGCGTGCCATGGTGAAGCACATACCTGCTGTACCACCGATGACAGTCAACCGTTCCTCAACAAGACTGATAAGCACAAGATAATGAGAAAAAAAGTCGTGAGTCGTGAACTCAGAACTTTTTCTCCCTCTTGTCTCATATACTAGATACATCTCATAAACACAATCTTTTTCTTCTTCTTCTTCTTCTTCTTTACAAGAGAAAGAAAACACTCAGAACTGTTTGGTATAAAATAACAGTACGATTCACTTTTTAAAAACTCAACATCGTAATTTGGCACCTTATAAAAAAGGGGGCTATGGTACAAAAAAATAATGTACAAAATAGTTTCCTCTTATGGAAAAACCACTTCCTCGCCAAAGAAAAAAAATCCTCACAATTCAACAAAAACGTACGATGTTCACCCTTCCAGCCCCATGTGCCTATATTATCAGCAGCGCTTGTACCTCCCACCATCCCAAGAGTGTATATTCTCAGTTTCAGGGGGGGGTACCGAATTTGTGCATTTTTCAAAATTAGCGAACCTAATTAAACTTTAATATTCATAAAATTTGTTCATTTACCTTTAAACATTGTATTGTTATACGTTATTATCCAAACCTCATTACAAAGATACTACATCACTTTTTAGAATGCAATCCTCTTTTTCTGAAACACTGCTGTATTGGCTGGGACTGGGGTTAGGGAGACCACAAAAATGGCTGGGGCTGGAAGGGTTATTTTATTTTTTTTGGTCAATGTTTTACGGCACTCACAACTGCATAAGGTCATATGAGCGCGCGGGACACACCAAACATTTTCAATAGGTAGGAAATTTTTTATTTTGCCCAGGTGGCGGCCGAAGCCTGCTCTTATCCATTTTAGACCATTACGGGATTTTTAACGTGTGCAACTTACACTCGGGACCTCCGAGATTTTCCCCCCTTGTCCGAGAAGGCTAGGTGTAGATCTTTCCCACCAGAAGATCAGGGGTGTGGCAGAAAGACAGCAGTAAGGAGGAGTCAAGGAGTAGCAGTAGAAAGGCTGCAGAAAGAGTCAGGAGCCCAGAGGAGAGGGCAAAGGAGATGAGGGGGTGGGGGAAGAAAGTGGTGACGAAAGCAGGTGACAGAACATTGTTAGAGAGCAGAAAAGGAGGTGAAAGGAGACAATTTTAGAGATGAAGATTTTTCGATCGCTACCCGGATTCGAACCCGGGACCTTTGAATAAGAGGCCAACACCTTAGCCTCTAGGCCAAAAGAGACCCCCTGGAAGGGTAAAGAAAAAGGGGAAGACTCACGCTTGTAACAGTCCCCGAGGTTTTCCCAGTTTCTGGTAAGCGTCCAACCACAAGCCAATTGGGACTCTGTTTGGGTGTTTTCCCTCATACCTGAACGAAGGATTCATTTTGTTAGGTTGAAAAGTAAGGGTACCGGTATGTGTGTGTGTGTGTGTGAGTGTGTGTGTGTGTGTGTGTGTGTGTGTGTGTGTGTGTGTGTGTGTGTGTGCGTGTGCGTGCGTGTGTGTGCATATAACAATACGTTGAATTCTGATGCTTTGGTCCACTACGTACAGATTTTATCATTTGGGTTTTTGGTACAAATGACGAGAGGACAAATTTCCCTTTCATTTACTAATTTCCAATGAATACGATGATATCATTTGAACAAAATGAATGACAGTTCAACATTGGAATATTCTACTGCTGTTGGAGACAATATTACAAGATATTCCTAATGAAAGATTTTACTAATATCTCCATAGCAACAGATACATTTTCTAAAATTGCTAAAAACATATTCAAAAGCATACTTTCAAGTTTTAAATATTGTTTCTTGAACAGTGAGTAATAAAAGAGACTTAAAGAGAAAAAAAAAGTTTCTTTTTAAACATGATGAGTGATGTTGGCAATTTCTGCTGCTTAGCCTGATGTATCTTGTGTCACGAGTCAAGTATGTAGCCTACCAATGAGAAGGCAGAGGAAATGTCAACATTAATACTGAAGATCAATGAATGTCGAGAAAGATAAGATTTTACTTTTCAAATTTACAAGACCTTAAAAGGGCGGATAAATGACTATATTATTATCAACAAATCTTGCACCACCTTAGCAGATCCTTCATTCCCTGCGGATGTGCCGTGAAGACGAGGTCTACGCCAGGGTCCTTCACACGCCAGATAGGGCCGTACATTTCTCGGTTTGCTTCGTGCGATTCGTGAAATCGACCTGAGTAGAAGACATAGAAACGTTGTTCAGAAGAAACAAAAAATAAATCCATTTCATTCTTTTAACAAAAATAGTAGCCTACTACATTATATTTCCTTACTTTTTTCCCCCATTTAGATACAAATTTTTGTTTCTTGAGCACTATTAAAACAAAACCATTAAGAAACTGAAATAAAATGGTGATTCAAAATTTTGGGGTTAGTACGTAGAAAGCCATATGATTGCCTTTACACCTTGTGCTGAGAGTGGATCTTAATGTTTTTTAACTCCCACTTTACTTACAAACCGTGTTCAACATCAATCAGCAGCAGAGACTACAGTAGCAGAAACATACCTCTGTATTTCACAACAGACACAGTAGTAGAAACATACCTCTGTATTTCACAACAGACACAGTAGTAGAAACATACCCCTGTATTTCACAACAGCAGACACAGTAGTAGAAACATACCTCTGTATTTCACAGCAGACACAGAGTAGAAACATACCTCGGTATTTCACAGCAGCAGACACAGTAGTAGAAACATACCTCTGTATTTCACAACAACAGACACAGTAGTAGAAACATACCTCTGTATTTCACAACAGCAGACACAGAAGTAGAAACATACCTCTGTATTTCACAGCAGCAGACACAGTAGTAGAAACATACCTCGGTATTTCACAGCAAAACGTATCAGTCCAATGATGGGGATGCTGTCGACACACGGAATCTCAGAGAACGGCTTCCCCTCAGGGACTTTGACCTTGACAGACTCGGGAGAATCTCTCGAAGCATCACCTTCAGTCTGAGTTACATAAAATCTTAACAAGCCCCTCGAGATCTTTGTCGCAAGAGCACACGTCCTCTTGGAGACACTCAGCACTAGGGAGCTCGGCACAGGGGTCACAACCGCAGCCATGTTCAGCCCCGGACAACTGAGTGACCGAAAGTTGCCACACCACATGATGCTTGATGATCGATGATTTTCCTTCTATGTCTCAGTACCTGTGGACTTTCCTATGATTCATATAAATCTCAAGTTTTAATATCATCAGCCAATTGTTCAGATATATACAAAACCCAACATTTTTTTTTTTTAATTGCAGGTTTTTTCAGTATATAAACCCGAGGAAGATTTGATTGAAATTAAATTTATAAATGTTGAAAAAGCAAGAAAGATAAATGTTTCAAGGAAAAATGTGTAAAATAATTGAAACTGCTTTTTTTCTTTCTCCTGAAATGTTTAGGGGCTCTCGAGGTTGGAGGTTGTGTTTGCCTCTCATTCAATAGGTCCCAGGTTCCAAACCTGACAATTCTTCTCTAAAATTTCCTCCTTCCATGCTCTCTAGCAATGTTCTGTCATTTGCTTTTGTCTCCACTTAATCTTCCCCCTCCCCCCTCCCCTTTCCCCCCTCCTCTGAGCTCCAGACTCTTTCTGCAGCCTTTCGGCTGCTACTCTAGGCTCCTTTTTCATAAACTGTCTTTCAGCCACACCCCTGATCTTATGGTTGGTAAGATATAATTCTAACACCTATAATTATAGCCTTATTCTTGGATAAGGGCGAAAAATCGTGGAGGTCCGAAGCAAGGTGCGCATGTTGAAGATCCTGATGAGATGGTCCTAAAATTGATTAGCTTCGGCCGCCACCCGAGCAAAATTCAAAACTCCCACCAAAATGAAAATGTTTAATGTCTCGAGATCGCCCACTCTAAATTATTACCTTTTGCAGTTGCGAACGCCGTAAAACACTTAATTACCAAAACAAAAAAATGAAAAGTTTTTCTGTCTGAGCTTGAGACATTTGAACAGCTATAATAATACTAGCTGTCCTTATCATATGTCTGTCCCTTGAGTTTGAGCTCCTTAAATTGCTGGAAGCCCCAATTCTGAAGGCTAAAAGTGACCACATATATAGTAATTCGAAATGGCTAGCCGTACTTAAGTACGGCTAGACTGAGAGTCTAGCCGTACTTAAAGTACGGCTAGACTGCAAGTCTAGCCGTACTTAGATCTAGGTTTGGCCCTATCGACTCAAGCCTGTTAAGTACACAGGTCTCATTAGATCTAGATCTAGTAATTATTCAGGTTCAAATACATGCAAGTCAGTAAGGCACCTTTTTGTTTTGTCTGAAATACAAATACTTTAGGCATTGCAAACTAAAAATTTCAGTAAGGCACCTTTTTGTTTTGTCTGAAATACAAATACTTTAGGCATTGCAAACTAAAAATTTCATTTACAATTTAGCCATCAATATTAAGTACGGCTAGCCTGACAGTCTAGCCGTACTTATCTTAGGCCCTATTAACATTAGAAAACAGGAGGTTTAAAATACATGCCCTGTCATTTAGGCACCTGGTTTCGTCTCAAATACAAATACTTTAGGTACTGCACACTAAAAAAGTATATTTACAATTCAGTAGGCCTATTTTTTGTTAAATGGTCAGTCTAGCCATCATATTAAGAATAAGTACGGCTAGACTGCGAGTCTAGCCGTACTTAAGTACGGCTAGACTGGCAGTCTAGCCGTCATTAAGTACGGCTAGCATCTTCCATAGTAATTACTAAAGCTTGGCTTTTAGACAAACACTAATATTTTAAACCATAATAAGCAACGGTGATACATAATTTTAGTTATTCTGATTGTAATTAAAAAATAATATAGACTAGATCTAGACTCTAGATAGTAGAACTAGAAGCCGGAAAAAAGTAAAGCAAGGGAATATAAGAAAGTTAAACTGTCATACTTAACCATGTCACTGGCATTGTCATTATACTGATGAAATTTACGAGGCCTATGCTACTGCACTGCACGGCACTACGGCACAGCGGTTTATTATACAGTCAAGTTTTAAACATCGGCTGGATGATGACAGCAGAACGTACAATTACTGCAAGCATGGGAATGACCAGGAATGTTATTTATTATCGCTGCGTATTATGATTGGAAAGTGGGCCTACTACTTACTTCATCGTACGTGAGCGGGGAGTCTACCCCAAACTGTTTCAAGCGGACTCGCCTTTTCTCTCAAGCAGCACAACGAGTGACGCAGTTCATTGGGAACAGCTGCAGACCAAGCAGACTTGTGTAGATCTACCGTAAAGGAAGCTAGGCCAGGCCCACTCACCGATCTCCATTCAACAAGCATAACACAACACAACATGACCCATGAACCATGACCATTGACCCCTGATGTCACATGACCTGTGATCACATGACATTGGCAATTCGCATCTCTCATCGTTTCTTCAATTTCTAATTTCTTTGCTGAATTATAATTGCCGCAATGTACACCTATCTATCTCGTATACAGCCAACGAGGTTAATTATACATCTTTAAATCTACAAGCTTGTTCTATAATGTAGGTGCAGGCTGGAGTCACTACAACTCCTTTTGCACGTATCGGTATGGCCAGCGGCTATGCCTATAAGCTATAGCTGCCCCCCCCCCCCGGTCTCCATGGCATGTCTGACAGGCGTCGTCATGGTAACACTGTAGGCTACGCACGAGCTATATTATTATTATTACCTGGACGCTGAGAGTATAAGAACGTTATTGATAACCTCTTTTTTCTCCTTACTTTTGTTTCGACAAGGCCTATCACTGTTTCACCTGAGCCCCTAGTTTAGCCCTATAAGTACCTGCAGGTGACCCGGGGTAGTCATGGATACCGGATATACCGTCATGTATGTCAGCCACAGCATACAACTGTTCCCCGGGTGCCCACTACGGCTGGATCGGGCCGATCACCCGACTCGGTCGCCTGAAACTGAAAACAAACACGTTTGTTTTTTAGGCGACCGCGTCGGGTGATCGGCCGATCCCAGCCGTAGTGGGCACACCGTGCGACTGAGTCGGCCGATCCCAGCCGTAGTGGGCACACCGTAGGACTGAGTCGGCCGATCCCAGCCGTAGTGGGCACACCGTAGGACTGAGTCGGCCGATCCCAGCCGTAGTGGGCACACCGTACGACTGAGTCGGCCGATCCCAGCCGTAGTGGGCACACCGTGCGACTGAGTCGGCCGATCCCAGCCGTAGTGGGCACACCGTACGACTGAGTCGGCCGATCCCAGCCGTAGTGGGCACACCGTGCGACTGAGTCGGCCGATCCCAGCCGTAGTGGGCACACCGTGCGACTGAGTCGGCCGATCCCAGCCGTAGTGGGCACACCGTGCGACTGAGTCGGCCGATCCCAGCCATAGTGGGCACCCCGTAATTTGATATGCCTACTTCATCATGGCCCGATCTCAACAGTTCCCGACTTGGAAGAAACAGGGGGAGAAACCAGATTAGATTAACAGCAGAGAGCAACTAGTTAGCCCAACTCCCTCTAGTAGGAGTACATAGATAGCCAAAGCAACAAATGAAACAGTTTGGACTTGTGTCAAGACTCAGACAGTATTATAGCAACTTGTGTCAAGACTCAGACAGTATAGCAACTTGTGTCAAGACTCAGACAGGGGGCTCTCGTGGCCTAGAGGTTAAGGTGTTGGCCTCTCATTCAAAGGTCCCGGGTTCGATTCCGGGTAGCGACCAAAAAAATTTTTCTTCTCTAAAATTGTCTCCTTTCACATCCTTTCCTGATCTCTAACAATGTTCTGTTGTCTGCTTTCATTTCCACTTTCTTCCCCCACCCCCTCACATCCTTTGCCCACTCCTCTGGGCTCCTGACTCTTTCTGCAGCCTTTCTTCTGCTACTCCTTGGCTCCTCCTAACTGCTGTCTTTCTGCCACACCCCTGATCTTCTGGTAGATCCCTTGGTGGTCTAAAATCGATAAGAGTAGGCTTCGGCCGCCACCCGGGCAAAATTCAAAATTTCCTACCAACGAAAATGTATTAGGTGAGTCCCGCGCGCTCATATGACCTTATGCAGTTGCGAGCGCCGTAAAACCCTATACTAAACAAACAAACAGACTCAGACAGTATTATAGCAACTTGTGTCAAGACTCAGACAGTATAGCAACTTGTGTCAGGACTCAGACAGTATAGCAACTTGTGTCAAGACTCAGACAGTATAGCAACTTGTGTCTAGACCCAGGCAGTATAGCAACTTGTGTCAAGACTCAGACAGTATTATAGCAACTTGTGTCAAGACTCAGACAGTATAGCAACTTGTGTCAGGACTCAGACAGTATAGCAACTTGTGTCAAGACTCAGACAGTATAGCAACTTGTGTCTAGACCCAGGCAGTATAGCAACTTGTGTCAAGACTCAGACAGTATTATAGCAACTTGTGTCTAGACTCAGACAGTATTATAGCAACTTGTGTCAAGACTCAGACAGTATTATAGCAACTTGTGTCAAGACTCAGACAGTATAGCAACTTGTGTCAAGACTCAGACAGGGGGCTCTCGTGGCCTAGAGGTTAAGGTGTTGGCCTCTCATTCAAAGGTCCCGGGTTCGATTCCGGGTAGCGACCAAAAAAATTTTTCTTCTCTAAAATTGTCTCCTTTCACATCCTTTCCTGATCTCTAACAATGTTCTGTTGTCTGCTTTCATTTCCACTTTCTTCCCCCACCCCCTCACATCCTTTGCCCACTCCTCTGGGCTCCTGACTCTTTCTGCAGCCTTTCTTCTGCTACTCCTTGGCTCCTCCTAACTGCTGTCTTTCTGCCACACCCCTGATCTTCTGGTAGATCCCTTGGTGGTCTAAAATCGATAAGAGTAGGCTTCGGCCGCCACCCGGGCAAAATTCAAAATTTCCTACCAACGAAAATGTATTAGGTGAGTCCCGCGCGCTCATATGACCTTATGCAGTTGCGAGCGCCGTAAAACCCTATACTAAACAAACAAACAGACTCAGACAGTATTATAGCAACTTGTGTCAAGACTCAGACAGTATTATAGCAACTTGTGTCTAGACTCAGACAGTATTATAGCAACTTGTGTCAAGACTCAGACAGTATAGCAACTTGTGTCAGGACTCAGACAGTATAGCAACTTGTGTCAAGACTCAGACAGTATAGCAACTTGTGTCTAGACCCAGGCAGTATAGCAACTTGTGTCAAGACTCAGACAGTATTATAGCAACTTGTGTCTAGACTCAGACAGTATTATAGCAACTTGTGTCAAGACTCAGACAGTATTATAGCAACTTGTGTCAAGACTCAGACAGTATAGCAACTTGTGTCAGGACTCAGACAGTATAGCAACTTGTGTCAAGACTCAGACAGTATAGCAACTTGTGTCTAGACCCAGGCAGTATAGCAACTTGTGTCAAGACTCAGACAGTATTATAGCAACTTGTGTCTAGACTCAGACAGTATTATAGCAACTTGTGTCAAGACTCAGACAGTATTATAGCAACTTGTGTCAAGACTCAGACAGTATAGCAGCGAGAGCCCGTCGTACACCGACAGAGATCAGATGGAAACTGAGGAAGAGGCAGGGACAGATGTGCAGAGGGCTACGTTCTTACATAGTTCTCTGACCGTCTAGGTAGAGGGGGGTCAGAGAAACATTAGACAAAGTTAACAAAACTCGACAGGAATTGTTTTCCCACTCGGGAATCGAATTTGCGTCTCGTCCTATCTCGCGTGTGAAAGTTGCGCACGTTAAAGATCCCGGTCCAAAATCGACCAGAATAGGCTTCGGCCGCCACCTGCGCGCTCATATGACTTTATGCAGTTGTGAGCGCCATAAAATACTATAGATAGTTAAACCCCCCCCCCAAAAAAAAAAAAAATAAATAAAAAAATAAATTAAAAAATAAATAAAAAATAAATAAATAAATACATTTTTTATTGGATCTCCTGCGTGCGACTGTGCGACAGTGAAGCGCCTCATCGCCACGTCACACACGCTGGTGGACTGACTCCTCTCTTGGAAGCGGAACCAGAGACAGTCGGGTACAAAGGTTCAAAAACGTGCGTCAACATCAGACAGTGGGCGGTTGGCACGTGCACTAGTGTAGTTTGCTCTTTTTTTCCATTCAAATATCTATTCGTCTTTTTCTGACCGTTCTTTTTTTGTTTTGTTTTGTTTGGTATACTACTTTCTAATAACATTTCTAATCTAGGGCACTTACATGAATTAATTGTGTTTCAAGTGCATGGCGTAAATCTAAACTCTACAAACTAACTTACAAACGTATACATGATCGACTTTCTTGCACTTCCCTCATGACATTGATCTAGCCCTCAGTAAGTAAAACAAGTGTATGAGTTTAACTCCCCTATCAACACTATTAAGTAACTAAGAGGCAGGACCTCCAAATTTAACTTCCGTCTCCGATAAGAACGAGCCAAAAGGATTGCTATCCTTGAAAACCTCACAAAATGACCTGAGATCGAGAACGTTCACTCTGGTAGTATTTGAACCATGTGCAGGGACCTCCGCTCCATAGCCCAGCGTGATACATGATACATTGTACATGTACCAGCAGAGCTGACGGAGCGCCCTCCTTGCCCTCACAGTCACTGCACAACTTTTGCGGCCTTAGGCTTGACACTTGTTTTAGGCTAATTTGGGGTAGCTGATTTCAGAAATGGTCTGTATTACTTTTCGAATATCACGTTAAGTCATAGATGTAGGAAGTGTATTGGGTCATAGTACTTCCTACATCTCTATGCGTCAAGTGTTTCGCTCTCTAGATCTATGGCAAAGTCTGTCGGTTGGGGATTGGTTTTAGCAGACGTCTCCGCCCCCCCCTCCCCCCCCCCTCCCCCAATCTGGAAAGGACTTGACACAATTATGAGGGCAGTCATCATCCTATCGGCGGACAACTATAGAGTGGCGAGAGAGAGAGAGAGAGAGAGAGAGAGCGAGAGAGAGAGAGAGAGAGAGAGAGAGAGAGAGAGAGAGAGAGAGAGAGAGAGAGAGAGCAGCTCCTGTTGCACAAACATCTGAAACGTACAAGGGAAAAGCAAGCTGGATCAGTTTTTGGATAATTTGGGTTTTGACGTGGTTCGGAAAATGTTTACGTACCTCTTCTGGTCCATCTAAGTACCCAGGGCTCAAACCTAGCTGATGAGTCGCCTAATATCGGGCTTGGAAGGTCAGCTGTACTGTACAAAAACGTGGGAAGTAATGTAGATCTATTTCATTTTTGGTTTTCCTCAAAATGCCTTGTTCCTCCTTTGCTGAGTTAGCCTATTTCGTTGTACACTGATTTTTTTTCTAAAAAAGGGAACGCAATCTTGTCATTTTTAAAAGTTTGATAGGGATATCTGAATTATTTCCCTTGAAAATAAAAAACTGCCTTGCGCTAAGCTAAGCATCACATTAAAAATTTGCGCTTTTGTGTGCAGGCCATAGATGTACACTATAGGGATCACTCTGTGGTGCAGTCCCAACCATTCATTCACACCAGGAAAATACATCACTGATACGTAGTTAGATCTACAATGTTGCCAGAAATATATCACTTACCACTTAGACCAGACAGATTTAGAATGATTATATATTATGCAATTTTCCGTAATTTTGTTTTCCCCATTTTAATGTTGTGTATGTCTGAGTGGATTGGGGGGGGGGGGGGGGGGTTGTTGTTATTAATAGCGTAATTTTCAGGTCCATGTGTGAGATCAGAGACCAAGCCTGTGACACACGTGATGTACGGGACCTACATGAATAGTGAATGGGCCTGTGTCTTCTGTGGCATGGGTTTTTTTTCTGTAAGTAAATTATGTCTTTCCACCTCCTAATGATGTTGAAAAGTTAAGAATTATAAATGCAATAAGCAAAAAAAAATAAATAAATAAATAAAAAGGGGGGTAAAGAAACCAATACCCCCCTCCCCACAAACAGACACAGCATTTGACAGGATTGTACATTTTACACTATAAACTACACAGAGTAATTTAGGCTACTGAGTTATGCTATCATATTTATCCTGCTTTGCAGCTCACTACTTCCAGGGGGTTGCTTGTGAAAAGAAGAAGCAATCTCAGACCTATCCCACAGATTTATAATAACAATGTTTGGCGTCAGACCGATGGACAAAACCGCAAGCTCCACTCGATCAATTTAAAAAACAAACTAAGCGAATGCAACTCCTTACGAAGTGCGAGCCAACCGAGAAAACGAAAGTAGACCGTTTGTTTGACGGTTTGTAAACTTTTCGCATAGAAATTTCGCACGGAACGAATTCAAGCCATTTCATTGGTTGAAATTAGTTTTCTTTTGACAAGTTCGACGTTTATATAGTTCAGAAACAATGTAGCACTTGGACAGACTCGAAACACCCAAACGGTCTTGAATGGTTCGACGGAAATTTAGGCTGCTAGTGCTCATTGCGGGCATCTGGCTGATTGGCATAGTTTTCTATGTCACCAGAGCAGGCGATCAGGTAAGAGACATCACTTTATATATCTCGAATGTTTGATTTTCAGTGCTTCCTTCCTCCAACTCGGCATCATCATCATCATCAATCTGATGATCATCACTCTCCTCTCCGGTGATAACGGAACTTTCCATGACATGGTTCCTTACTTTATCTCATCTCTTGATGAGCTGTCGAAGGCGACCAAGGTTTTATGAGATGAATGTTTTTTTTCTCTAGATAGTCGGATTTTGCAATCATGTTCGTTGAGATTTGAAGTTAATCTATCTAGATCTAGATTCTCTAGATCTAGATCTAGATCTAGATCTTAGATTCTAGATCTAGATCTAGAGAGGTACACGGTCGTTACACAGTGTCGGTGGATGTGACAAAACTACCAAGAAGTAGAAGGTCTACACAGCCAGTGGGAGTACTGTGTAGAAGAAGTAGTGGAGAGGAGTTTATGTAACACAGTAGATTCTAGATCTAGAATCTAGATTCTAGATCTTTTGCGACCTGGAAAAGCCGTTATCCACTGACTAGATCTAGATCTAGATTGTAGATCTCTAATGCCGCTCACTTCACTGACTTACTTTGTAGGCTAGAGTTAAACTTCACTCTCTGGGACTCTGGGCTTTTTCCCCTGTTCACTCAATTTATTATTTTATTGTCAGTATTACTATTATAACTGGGTCTGGATTCTAAAGACATTATTAGCTTCAGCGTGCCTCTCTACTCATGCACAGCAGAGGAGAAAGTTTGATTTTGAGACAGAGAGAGATTCCCTCTTACTTTCTAATCTCATTAATTAAATAATAAATGGGAGTGATGTTTCAAAGCGAGCCACCACTTAAATAAAAAATTAACACCCACTCTCTGAATCGTACCAGTAGATCTAATCTAGATCTAGAATCTAGATCTAGAATCTAGGCCTACCACTGTCACTGTCTCTACATGCACGCATGAAATTTCTCAGAATTTATATTTTGATTTTCCATTGCAGCATTTATTTGCATGACACAGTCTTGTTTAGCAGACAACTTCTGCCAATGTTTTTGGCTTGCTTTTTTATGAAAAAATTTGAGTTGTCCTAGGCCAATGTGTTCCAATGCTTTTTAAAATTTTAACATTTTGCGAGTTCACTAAATTATAGATCTAGTTTAATTTGCCAAGATTTTTTTTTTTTTATTGCGAGAAAAGCTAATTCATTTCGGGCTTGAACTTTCCCCTTAGAGTATAGTTTTGCCTGGCCAGTGTTTGAGACTGCCTCTGGGCAATAGGAGATCCTGAAGCCAGATTGAATGAGCATCTCTGGTGACTTGTGCTGTAGTGTGCTAACCTCCTAGAGCAGTTTCCTTATGCTGTGAAAAATAAAAATTGTAATTTTAATAAAGCTTAAAATATTGTGTATTGTCAACCTTATATGCACTCGGCTCTTTTATTGTCTTGATTAAATGTAGTCATAGTTTGACAGTACAGTTGATAAGACAGCCACCCGTTGTCAAGGAAAAAAGTTTTTTCAGATGGTCATCTTGGGCAGTGTCCTGTCAGAAAAACCCCCAGGGAGATGTGAAGTGTCCGTTTGTACAGGTGATTGTCTTAGACAGGTAGCTGCTAGAGCAGGTTTGATGTTTATAGAAATATTTATACATTGAAAAATTACATATATGAAGTGAATTTTGTGTAAATTGTCTTCTTGACAGTTTTGGTACTTTGATGACTGTACATTCTGTTAATTTAGTACAGATCACCGTGAGGTCACTCCAAATAGTGTCATGTCATAGGGTAGTAAGGGAAGATTTTTCCGACTCAGTCGTCTGTTATCTTCAAAATCTCCAACTTCGCAAATATCTGATTTGCCTTACTTTCCGCTTTTTCCGAAACTAAACTCCTTGACTTTGGAGTCTTAGGCAGAGAATTTTGTTCTAGATGCTATGGAGATGGACTGAGCAATTGTGCTTTTGACAGTCTTGAGTTGAAGAATAGTTTTTTCTTACAAGTTACACTTGGTCTCATTGGCCATAGTAAGTTACAAGTTGAAATCATCTTAATTCTTATTTCTTCTATTTCACATCCTCTGCAGATGCATTGGTTTCATCAGACGTTGATAGATGAACTATTATTATATAAAACACTGGGTTGCATTTCATTGTAACATGAACAGACACATTCTGGCCCAAATAGGATGCATTATATCAAAGGTTTTCTCTTGTCTTTAAGTACATAACCAGTATTATATAATATTGGATGTTTTAATATTTTTAATAAATAAATTGATGTTGTATTAAAATTAAGAGACTATAATATCTTCTACTAGAAAGAAGGCCTTCAATCTTTGGTAATTTGCTTGAGAAATTTACAAGTTGATTGAGGATAAAAATGTGCATCTTATTCCCAGGAGTATTTTGAACAGTTACATCTTGTGGACTACATTAAATCTAAGTGCTGCGGACATTAGCTGTACATAGGAAGATCAGTTTTGGAGGTTGCAAGCCCATGAATGCCATGACTACATGGTATACCTCTGCTTATAGGAACTAGGTTATGTTGTGGTGGGGAGGGGTTCAGCTATGATCATCATGTTGTGAGAAATTGGGAGGCTTTCTTGAATGGGTCACATGCAGTGATGTACAGAGCGTCTTTGGAGCAATGTTTGTGTTGTTATAATGTGGTTTATGCCTCGTAATATTTCTGAATCTGAGAATTTGTGCTTGGTTGAAAAAATACAACCCACCATTGGTTTAACTACTTTTATTGCAACACATTTTTAAAACTCTTTGGTAAATCCAAAGAAAGGAGAGGTGCTAGACTGTCAATGAAGTGAATTCTTTGATCTTAGTTCAGATTATATATATATAGTTATAGAGTTACAAGGTATACAATTGAAAGTACTTACTTTAGGACCGCGTGTATGACAACCATCTGTTGTGCAAACAGCCACTTCCCACATTTCTCCCATTCCATTTTTTATACATTTTAATTGCATTGCGTAAGACCGCCACCTGTCTAAAGCGGAAACTTTTCTCCTTGACAATGGGTGGCCATCTTTGACCGTTTTTGACTGTTGTAATTAATTACATGTATGCACCAGTGAAGGCTCCAATGTTTTGTTTGATAGTGATAAATAATGATGTGAATTGTGTGTGTGGCGATAGACTCTACTCTTAGTTTTATCTCTTGGTCAGCGGCAGTGTAAGGAAGAGATGCGAACCAGGACCCAGTTCTGTCAGTCAGCCAGTGCTTGGGAAGAGATAATCAGGATAATGTCTTTTGTTTATCTGGTGTTTGTTCTCACGCTGTTGGGTTGAGGCGGCTGTTGGGTTGAGGCGGCTGTTGGGTTGAGGATGTAATGTTGGATAGTCGGTGGTTGGCGGGTGCTCTGGTGTGGTTTGCTTCTTCTTTCCTATGAAACATCTATCGTCCTTATCTCCCCCTTCTTCTTTTTTTTATGTTTGTTACTCTCTTGTAACACCTCTAATCTTCTGGCGCTCATATGACCTTATACAGTTGCGAGCGCCGTAAAACCTCTACTAAAACTAAACTAAATGTTGGATTCTGGGGATGGGGGCTTGGAGGGTGCCACTGGTAGGTCCTACTTCTTTTCTTACCCTCTGATGTTCCTGTTCTGTCTGTCTGTTTGTCTGTTTCTGTCTGTGTGTGTGTGTCTGTCTGTCTGTTTGTCTGTTTCTGTCTGTGTGTGTGTCTGTCTGTCTGTCTGTGTGTGTGTCTGTCTGTCTGTCTGTCTGTCTGTCTGTCTGTCTGTCTGTCTGTCTGTCTGTCTGTCTGTCTATCTGTCTGTCTGTCTGTCTGTCTGTCTGTCTGTCTGTCTGTCTGCACTTTATGGCCATTACTGTGTCGATATGCTTGTCTTTACTCTGTGGGTTATTGTCAGGTGCTCTGGTGTGGTTTACTTCTTCTTTCCTATGAAACATTCATTATTGTCCTTTTATCATCTCTCCTCCTTTTTTTGTATGTTACAGTCTAGTAACACCTCTAATCTTTGGCATTTATATGACCTATATTTATGTTGTAAGTGCAGTAAATTTTTAAAGAAAAGTTAACTAGTTACTGTTCTGTTTGTCTGTCCGTCAGTCTGTCCGTCCGTCCGTCCGTCTGTCCGTCCGTCCGTCCGTCCGTCCGTCTGTCCGCCCCTGCACTTAGTGACCAGTATAATTATTGTGTCGCCGTGATTCTCTTTACTCAAACAAATAAACAAACAGCATTTTGTGGGATACTGGAAGGATAACAAACGGCTACATTTTGACGTTAAGAAATGAAGATGATTAATGATGTAGTTACTGGGATACAAAAAAGTAGGATATAATATAGAGGAGAGCATCTACCAACAGCCTGCTTTGGCAGGATCTTTCTCTGTGGTTGTGATAATTATATAATTAATTACTTAATTATAATGGGTGAAAAGTCACTCATAATTTAATGGTTCGACGGGTTACTCTGATTCATGGATCATAAATAAAAGTGAGGTTTTAAATTAAACTAAAGGTTATGCTGTTTGGAAACTCCTGAATATTATCATAATGTTGACTTGAAAACAGGCCTCTTTTCTTGAGAGCAAAAGCCTGACGTGGTACGCACAAACTAATGCCGTTTGTAAAACCAGCGACCCCAAATTAGCTTAGAGCAAAGTCTTCAATCTGAGGCGGCAAAGTGTGTGTTGACCAGTGCAGTAAACACAACAGGCGTGTGGGAATGTGCCGCCGGTGGTGGTGGTGGTGTTTGGAAGAGGAAGAGGGGGGGGGGT